TGGATACTTTATTTGGGGTCCTTTTCATTTTTGTAATATGCGTTTTCTTTTATGTTGTATGCCACCCTGAGTCCTTGGGAGAAGGGCAGCATATAAATCCAATAAACCTAAACCCTAATATATAGCAGGTAATGAATGCAGCGCATGCTAGGTCTTATGACACTGGAAGATGAATTTGTGCCAAATTCCCTAAATGAACCACATAAGAAATCAAAGGACCCCAAAAGTCTTTTCAACCCCACTTATTGGCTGTCAGGAAAAAAAGAGATCTGTAAATCAAGTCACTTCATAATGATAAGTATTATTAGGGAAAGACCACCAGAGAACCGCTTCGTTGTTCTTTCTATGTGCTTACCAAGGTTGTATTAAAGAAGTCCTCAACCAGATTTACCAAATCTTTTTTGTCTCTGGGTTCTATCAGGCTCAGAAATTCTCTTGTCCTTTCAAACCAAGTAACCATGTAAAAAGGGAGAGAAAGGCAAGCAAAAATCAAATGAGCATCTAAAGCCAAGTTCACATCGAATTTTAATATACAAGTATACAGGAATTATATTTACTGGAACCAGTGAACATTACTGTGTGCTTGCTCAACAATAGTGAAATGACAATGTTCTCTAGCAGAACGTATATTGGTACTGTTGGAGTTCTCTGTTGAAGTGCATACTAGGAGGAAGGAAATTATATAAGAAAGGAAAGGCTCCCCCTTTTGCTCAATGCCTTCAAGGACAAATTGGATTTGTAGGATGTACTTAATTTGGATTTTCGCACTGAACAAGAGCTGGACTCTTAGAACAATAAAAAAGTAATTGAGAATAATGTTTTAGCTGCAACAAGAAATATTGAAAAATATGTTTACCTTTCAGATAGGCAAGTATGCTTTAGAATATAATAATATTACTGATTAGTAACGAAGATATTAATGTATTAGATTACTTATCTTTGGTATCAATCCTTGCTGAAGAAGCAGATTTCTACTTTCCGGAGAATCACTTCTACAGTACAACTGAACGCATTTCAACAGTAGGGAAACATTGGAAAATTCATTTTTGTCCAATTCCTAAAGCAGATAATTTCACATGAGAGACTACCTAAAACAGTTGAATAGATTTAACGTTCAGCAATTAAGAATTTCTTACATACCTTTTTCAGAGCTTTGTCAAGTTGATTTAACAATTGTTTCTTACACTTCTGAGGGACATGTTTGTCTTTTTCTTGTATCATTAGATTTATTTTCTGAAATCCTTTCCCTTTGAAGGCACCGCTTAACAATGATTCTAGCTAGAACAAAACAGACAAAAGCAAAAACTTCAATATGGGCCTTTAATTATTGACTGATAATCTTTGCTCTAAATTATTAGGGAGTCCACTAGCTCAGAGACTTAAACTTCAATTTGTACAATTGTATTCTTTAAAAGTTTAGCTACACTTTGTTGGCATACTTTGTTGTATTCTTCGCTA